AGTCTCTCACTCCCCCTCCCCCATTTACCCTGCCACCTCCTCAGAGAGGACACCATTCCAACTTGGATGTCTCTCCCCTTGCTTTCCACAGTGAGTTATTCTCCAGCAGCACCGGGAGCTTGTTGGAATGCATCATCTCAAGCCCAGTCCAGACTCGAGAACAGGGATCTGCATTTTAACAAGACTTCCCGATGCTCTATGTGGACATTAGACCTCAAGATGCAGTTACCACCACTGTGGTAGTCAGTGAGGGAGGCCATGCCTGTTAAGATGCCCAAGGACCCAGGAGTGACGGGGCATGTCTGTAGTCCCAGCATTTGAGAGGGAGAGGCAAGAAGAGTGCTGTGAGTTTGAGGCAAGCTAGGACCACACAATAAGGGAAAAAAGAAAAGAAAAACAATAATGTATTTTTTAAATGCCTGAGAAATTTTCTGCGGATCTTAAGAGAACCCGGCACCTTCTGTGGGAAGGCTGCATTGGAGTCCAGGAGTTTGTGTTTAGTTAGTGAAGTCACGGTGCTGGAGATCCAACCCAGGGTCCCAGGAGGAACTTCCTTCCTCCAGCCATTGAGGCAATGCAGGGGTCAGACATCTGTGCCCTGAGCAGAGGCCCCTTTCCTCCCGGAAATGCTGACACATAGGCATTCTGACAACACAACTGTCCCAGTCTTAAACAACGCTCTGTCCTAAGGGGTGGCCCTGACAAACGTGCAGGCCAGACACTGTCTTCAGCCCCCGAAGCAGCTTTGAACCTTAAGTCATCTTCTGCAGCCAGGTACCCTGTCCCTAGCCTGGGGCACTTGTAGGGGTCAAGAAGGGATCTGAAGGTACAGCAATGGAATTTTGTCAAAGAGCCTGTCTTAGTCAAGGTTACTATTGCTATGAAGAAACACCATGACCAAAAGCAAGTTGGGAAGGAAAGGGTTTATCTGGCTTACACTTCCATATCATAGCCTGTCATTGAAAGAAGCCAGGGTGGGAACTTAAACAGGGCAAGAACTTGGAGGCAGGAGCTGATGCAGAGGCCATGGAGGAGTGCTGCTTACTGGCTTGTTCCTCATGGCTCCCTCAGTCTGCTTTCTTTATTGTTGTTGTTTGGTTGGTTTTGGGTTTTTGTTGTTGTTGTTGTTTTGCTTTTCAAGACAGGGTTTCCCTGTGTAGCCTTGGCTGTCCTGGAACTCAGACTCACAGAGATCCACCTGCCCTTACCTCTGCCACCCAAGTAAAGACCTGCACCACTACACCCAGCGCAAGCTGCTGCTGTTAGAGGCAGGGCCCAGAGAGAGCAGTTCATGCTGTTATTGAGGCTGCCCACTGTTGTGGAATATTATTTTAGCTAGGCAAAGATGTGTTACATTTGTTTATGCTAGTGATCAGGGACAATAAATAGGAGAAGAAATCTAGAAAGAGAAAGGGGAGAGAAGAAGGAGGAGAGAATGAGGGACAGGCCTGGGGCCAGAAGCCAGGCAGACGCCAGCCGGCCAGACACAAGAAGCAGTGAAAACAAGACAAACAGAAGTAAGGAAGGTAAAAAGCCCCAGGGCAAAAGGTAGATAAAGAGGAACAGATTATTTTTTTACTTTTTTTGTTTTTAAGATGTATTTATTTATTATGTATACAGTGCTCTACCTGCATGTATGTCTGCATGTCAGAAGATGGCACCAGGTCTCATTATAGATGGTTGTGAGCCACCATGTGGTTGCTAGGAATTGAACTCAGGACCTCTGGAAGGGCAGCCATTGCTCTTAACCTCTCAGCCATCTCTCCAGCTTGAAACATGTTAATTTAAGTTAAAAGAGCTAACTGAAAAACATGCCTAAGCTAGGCTGAGCATTCAAAACTAATAATAAGTCCATGTCATGATTTGAGAGCTGGTTGGTGGCCCAAAAGGAAAAGCCTGGTACAGACCCACTGTGTGCCTATGTGCCAGCTGACCAACTGCTTCTAGGACCAAGGGAGTTCCGGTCCCCATGTTGCAGATCATAACTAAGCAGTAAGTTGTAGATGTAACCAACTGTCTTACTAAATAAGAAACACAGAACCAATGCAAAGAAGAAAGCCAAGAGATCAGAGCTAAGAGCCTTACCAGCCTGCTGCAGTTAGCCTCTTCAGTCAAGAGACCTCTCCAAAAGAGAGCTACTTCCTGTCTGTTTGTCTTTATATAGACTTTCTGTTCTGCCTTCTCATTGTTGTAAAACCAGCCACATGACCGCCTCGTCACTGTCTGTTGTACAGCCCTCCAGGTCTTCTATGGTATTGAGATTAAAGGCTGTATCCTTGACCACACAGAGATCTAACTAGCTCTGCCTACCAAGTGCTGGGATTAAAGGCGTGCACCACCAACGCCACGCTTTTGCTATGGCTCTAATAGCTCTGACCCCTGGGCAACTTTATTTATTAACATAAAATTAAAATCACATTTCAGTACAAATAAAATACCACCATAGTAAGTGGTCCGGCTGGGATTGAGCCACAGATTGTCCCATTGGCACCTGCCTTCCCAGCTTCCTGTCATGGTGCTGTGTACCTACAGGGTGTAGGTGAAGAAATACCGGCAGGAATTTCCCATATTTGAGGGTAGGTATCTACAGGGATCTTCCCATAGGAGCACAGGTTGTCCTGGCCTTCTCATCTTGCTCTGCTCTGAAAGTCTGCTCCAAGCACACGGCTGATGCATGACCAGGAGCTTCAGAGCTCTGTATGTTATAACCCGAATACTAGTGGGGCTGGAGCTACTTACTAAACACCAGTTTCAGAGTTCTTAGCAGACAGCTGACTGCTCAGGTGGTGCCTGGGGTCCATGCTTTCCTGGGGAGGAGGGAGTCCCTGTGATGCAGGTTAGGATGACTGGCCTCCCTCCTGCCCAGCATACTTTGCCTGTCTGTTCTGACTGTGGCTCCTTGCTCCTCCCTTCAACCCATCTTGACCTCTACTCTTGTAAATTCACCCTCTCCCAGAATCCCACTCCCCTCTGGCTTCCTTCCCTTCTTACAAACTAAACACTACCACTGCAGGAGAATATGTTCTCTCAAGTTGCTCAAACAATCCAGTGGTCTGGCCCAGATTTCCACCGGCAGCTGCCCAGGCACGGACAGCTCATGTCCTGGAATCTGTCAGGGTGGCATAGGCTACACTTTCCGCATGGCTGTGGGCTGGCAATCCCATCATCACTGTGGACCAGGGCCTAGTATCATAGACATCCATGACACTCAGTTGGGAGACAAGCTTTTCTTTTTCTTTTCTTTCTCCCGGGACAGGGTTTCTCTGTGTGGCCCTGGCTGTCCTGGAACTCACTCTGTAGACCAGGGTGGACTCAAACCCAAAGATCTGCCTGCCTCTGCTACCTCCTGAGTGCTGGGATTAAATCGGCATGTGCCACCACTGCCCAGCATCAGAAAGGCCTTTCTCCCCTGATGCCCTTGGATTGCCGTGAGGTCTCAAAGATGTAGTCTATTTCAGGCGGGGTCCCAGTGGACAATGGTTTACACAAATGAGAAGGCTTTTGTGTAAGCAGATGTGACAGGACCCCCGCCCCTTCTGACTCCTGTCCTGTTTTGGGGGGCATTAGCCTCATCTTTATGGATCAAGCTAGATGGCTACAGCATCCCAGCCAGTGAGAAAGGGTTGGTCCCTTCCCTTTGCCTGAAGTCTATGTACATCACTTTACACATATCTCATCCACATGTAGTTAAGAAGCCATAGCAAACTGCGAGGGAGGCTGGGAAGAAGAGTCTCTGTCCTTGGTAGTGAGCTGGAGAGTTTAGAAGTCTGGAAGCACAGTAAAGTGGTATTGGGGATAACGGTGACACCAACTCTTCTCTTACCCTGTTTGTGACCATATCCTGGTACACCTCATCCCAGGCGCCTTTGCCAGCAGTGATTAATTTTATCTCCACTCTATACCTCACAAGAGGCTCCCAACTGACCGCCTGGCTTCTAGCCTCACCTCTGATTGGCTGCTTTCAGTGTGTAGAGATTCTTCAGTGGCTCCCACCCCCTATAGTAATGCCTCTCCTTCCCCTGCCGGGATTGAAGCCAAGAGCCTCAAACATACTCATGTTTGTCTATCCCTCAGCCTCATTTCCAGCCGAGCAGTGCTTAAAAATATTTTAAAATTACATTTAGTTATTCCTTCGGTGTGTGCAGTGTTCATGTGGAGGACAACTTGCCAGAACCGGTTCTCTCCTTCCACCACGTGAGTCCTGGGGACCAAACTCAGGTCATCAGGCTTGGCAGCAAGCACCTTTACCTGCTGAACACCCGCCCCCCCCCCCAGTACGATTTTAAGAGAAGAGCTTAGCACACGTGTATTTTTCAAAACGGCATTTGGATTCTTAAAGTAGTCTGTGAGATAGCCCCCTCAAGTTTGGGCTCCAGTCCAAATCTCTAACATCAAAATACAATAAACAAGACCATATGCCTTCCTCTCTCTCCAATCTCCTCTCCCATGGACTGAAACTGAACTCATCTGAACTCCCATGGCTGTGGGGCCACAAGGCTTTATTCATGCCATAGCTTCAACCCTACTGCTCTCTAGAACACCCTGGCTCACTCCTTAGAGTTCCGCTCCAAGTCTCTTTCTTTCTCTGACCCTCTCTGACTGGGCCAGTCTCCACAGCATTTCATTCCCCTACCCCAGTCCTGGGAAGTGTTAAGTTTTAAGGGTCAAATGGGGGCACATTGTCACAGTAAGTAAGGTATCTCTCCTGGGACCCGGAGCGGCTGGCACAAGAGGACTGTCCAAAAACCCGACTTCTCGCTCTTGAGCTTCCTGTATCCAGCTGTGGTCCCTTCCTCCTCCTCAACAGGCTCCTGCCATCTGTCACAGGGCCTCCTCAGACCTCAAACCGTACTAGATGACTCCCAAACTGGGGGCTAATTAATACCCTCTTCTTCTTCATATCCTTCCTTGGGTATTTTTTCATAACAAAAAGAAATGAGCTAATATAGTCCTGTATTGCAAATTCCCAGGAATCAAGAGCAAAGAAATTTTGAGACCCATTGAGAGGCAACATTTTAATTTATATACAGGAAGGACAGGCCAGAGCTGTGCTACTCCAAGCTTGGTTGTGGCCTAACTGCCTCTGGGCCTAGTCGGGTACATAGAAACTCAGGCCCATAACAAGATCCCGGGGGCTGGATACACATGAACCTTTGCAAAGCATGGAGCTAACATTTGTTAATGTATGTGTTTGCTTTTACATTGTGTTTTGATGTGGCTTTTTTTTTTTTTTCTAAAGCTCCTCTGAGGCACTGATCTTTCCATCTCCGAGCAGCATCCACACATGGGACTTTGGGCATCTCTCACCAATCACGCTGTGGGGAGAAGTTTGCTGCAGAGTTTCTGAAGGCCGTCTTTCTGGGTTATCATCTGGATTCTGAAACTTCCACATGCAGTTTCTTATGAAGAACCCCAGAGGGAGGGTGTATGATCACCTCCATTCTGAAGATGATGGAGCCATCACCTATGAAGGCTTGGTGACTCACCCAAGGGGTAGCAAGCACATAGGCATTCCAGCCCAAATGGGAGTTCTTGCTTTTGAGTTTTCACTGTTCACATCTCCAATTCTGACACGCTTCCTTTTATAGAGAGATGATTTTTGCATGAGACTTTCAGAGCTTTCACGTACAGGCCCCAGGGGATATGGAAGCCTAGGAAAGAACTGTCCCTGGGAGAGATGTTGGTCCAGAGAGAGCTCTGTCTTGCCTGGCTGCCTACCACTGAAGCCCAGGCTGGACTTCTGTGCATCCAGTAGCTCAGAAGTTATCAGAGCCAGTACCTGCTCATAGGGGCCCTGTGCTTCCAGCAACGATGTCTACAATGACTCAGTCTCAGCAAGAAGCTAGCCAATTCATTTCTTTCTTCATAGGTTGAGAACAGCTGAAATGACCGGACTCCGCCAACATGCACCTAGTGTTAACCATTGGATTGGATTTTCTGCTTACTTCCATAGAGGAAACTGGAGCCACTGGAGGACTCAGAAGTGCCATGCCTTGGCATTGACATCACTGGGCTTCGGCCTACCTTGCCTAAATTTAGATTCCTCTCCCATTCTCTCTAGACATGCATATTCAGTGGGATATATTTGTATATATATATATATTTGATTCAAAACAAAAAGACTGTACTTTAAAACTCCATGTAAATAGTATTGCTTTTCTACTGTGTGAGTGTGCCCTTACCCACCTGCTTGCTACACAGGACTGCTAAAACAGTCATGAGGAATTCAAGGCTGAAGAGGTCTTGAATTTCTGGACAACCCCACTGCACTGTGCACTCTGCACCTTGGACCTGCTCTGAAGCCTGTGTAGTTTGGGGGGCTTGGCCTAAGGCAAAAAACTACTAAGCATCCTAATGAGCAGCATTAGATGAGGGGAATGTATTGTGCATATTTGACATAGCTTCTTCTTTTGAATGGTGGCCCTCTGCCTGTGGCCCCGGCCCTCTCTAAGGGCAAAGGAGATCAGAAAAGGGGCCTTTTCTTCCTGGCTGTTAGCTCTTCTGTAGCCTCTACAGCCCCAGGGACCTGCCTTGCTCCAAATGGGCCTGCAGAAGCTCCGCAATTTCCACATGGGCAGGTGAATTCAGCACGATGGACAAAGCTGTTTGGCCAGCCTGTAGAGAAGAAAGAAAAAGTTCATCCTATCTGCCTCTTGTCCCAGTGAGAAGAGGGGGGGGGGGTGGGGGGCATGTTGAGAAAGGATGATATAAATGTCAGGTGATGCAGGAGGGGATGTGATCCAAATGGCATGAGGACCATGAGACACAGGATCATGAGATATGAGGGTCCCTTCCCCAGGAACAGTCCTCAGTCCTGGGGAGCCTGTGCCAGTGGGAATAGAGAAGGGGTTGCCGGACCCTCAACACTTAAGACAATTGGAAAATATAGGAAAGAAAATAACCTTTCCTATCCCAACACACAGGTCTACGTGAAGGTTAGCATTTTAGTGCGTTTCCTTTCTCTTTTCTCCTATGCAAGTCTATTGCTGGTGTTCAAGTAGAGAAATGGAAGCATGCATCTGTCTTAAATGCCCTTTTATTGCAACTTCCCGTGGTGTGCTGGGAGATGTTTCCTCACTGTTAGTCTTCATAACTCATCTTATTCTGCTTTAAGAGGCCATACTACACTAGCAATTTCCCACCTGTTGGAAGCTTGTTTGATGCTCTATGCCTACAAGTCATAAACTCACTGAAAAAGCATTTTCTCATGTGCATGTCAGCATGCATGTTCATCTGTGCATGTGCACATGTATGCCTGTGCACATAGAGGCCAGGGCCCAACCCCGGGTGGTGTTCCTCAGGGGCTGCCTGCCATGTTCATTTTGAGATGGAGTCTCTCAACGGTCTGGACCAAGCAGGCAAGGCTAGCTGGCCAGTGAGCCTTCTTACAAGCATGTGCAACAATGTCTGGATGTTTTTATAGCTGTGGGTTCTGGGGATTGAACTTAGGTCCTCACGATTGCATTGCAAACACTTTATGGACTGAGCTATCTCCCAGTGAGCGCCCTCCCATCATTAACTGTCTCCTTAGGAGCAGAAGTCAGCTCCCAGCACTTGTTGACGACTTGAAGTCGAGGTAGCACCTTCTCCACTGCACGGGCCAGTCTGCAAAGAGCTGGAGCTGAAGAAGCTGGACCTGTGGCGTTCTCCTTAGGCGGGGTTGCTGCTGGCTGTACAGAGATGGAGGGAAAGCCTACACACCCGGGTGTTGGAGGGTGAGCTCCACAGGGGCAGCCAGTCTCTAATGAGGGAGCACAGTCCTGCAGCCAGAGTTCTGAAAGCTAAAGGACTTTGAAAATGACACTGATCTTGGTGACTGATTTAGAGGTAAAACCCAGGCTGAGGCTGCCTGTGATGCTTACTATATATTTTGCTCTCACTGGAACTGTATGTATGCAGAATTAACTTCCTGAAATGTGGCACATCTTTCAGAGGAGCAGGTGGGACATATTAACATGTCAAGCTCTTTGGGCTTCCCCCTTTGCAGCTAGATGGGACCCAGCTGCCACTGAGGCTCAAACCAATTGTTCTGCAGTAGAGAAAGACCCGAGAGTGGGAGGGGCCCCAAGGGAGGAAGACACTGCTCTTGTTTTGGGGCTGGGTCTCGTGTCTAGCCCACATTGGCCAGGAACTAGTTGAGGTCAAGGATAACCCTGGACTCCTGTTCTTCCTGCTTTCACCTCTCAAGTGCTAAGAGTCCAGGCCTACATGCCACCACCCAATTTAGTGTGTGCTGGGGCTCAAACACGGTGGTGGCTGACTGCTAGGTCAGTTCTCTACCAACTGAGCTACACCCTCCCCTCTTTTGCTTTTTTTCATTTTTAAGATGTGTGTGTGTGTGTGTGTGTGTGTGTAGGTATATGCATGTGTGTGGTGGGGTACTCACAGAGAGGGAGCCCCTTGGGCTTATAGGAATTGTGAGCCACTTAATGTGAGTCCTAAGAGCTAAACTGAGATCCTTTGCAAGAGAAGTATACGCACTTAGCCTCGAAGTCATCTCTTGCTTTCTTTTGAAACTGTGGTAATAGATTGTGTACCCTAATAAAACTTGCCTGAGGATCGGAGGACAGAGTCAGCCACTAGATTAGACATAGAGGTCAGACAGTGGTGGCACCCAATCTTAATCCCATCACTCAGGAGGCAGAGATCCGTCTGGATCTCTGTGAGTTCAAGGCCACACTGGACACAGAGCCAGGCAGTGGTGGCATGTATCTTTAATCCCAGTACTGGGAAGCACACATGCCTTTAATCCCAGGAAGTGACCTCAGGGCAGAGAAAGGTATATAAAGCATGAGGAAACAGGAACTAAGGTAGTTCAGCTAAGACCCTTTCGGGTGAAGACTCAAAAGATTTCAGTCAGAGGATTCGTGGAGTTGGTGAGGTGATAGGTGGTGGCTGTGGCTTGCTCTGGCTCTCTGATCTTTCAGCTTTCACCCCAATATCTGGCTCTGGGTCTTTTATTATAAGACCTCTTAAGATTGGTGTTACATGAAACAGTGATTTGCTATGTACCCCAGGCTAGCCTTGAATTTGCTGGGCCACCCTCCCTGCACCTTTCTATTTAGGCTGGAATCTAGGTGATCACTTGATTAGTTCTGGTCTCTGTAAGCTCAAGAGCTCAGTCTGGCCTGCTCCCTGCTGCATCCTAGCACAGGTGGGCTGCCTGGCCTTGCTCAGCCCTAAGCATTGTTGAAAGCTGGACTGTGCGGGCAGAGGTGTGTGGTTCAAGTTGATACAGAAGCCAAACAACCCTAAGGAGTCTTCTGCTGAACAAACTTGGAACAAGGCCCAGCTTTTAAAGCATGGAGTCCTCCGCACTGTTGAGGGAGGGGGCTGTTCAGCAGGGAGATCTGCATTGTCCCGGGGCAGAGGGAGGGCTGTCCTCACTCTGTGCTCCACACTGCCCTTTGCCATCCAGAGCTCTATGTAAACAGGGTGTGTGATGACTGTTACCATGGGAAAGAGTCACAGAGCCGGTCCCAGAGGCTATGCATTTTCTGACAGATTCCATCTGGAGGTGACAGCCTCCATCTGTGGGCTTCTCAGCTGAAGATGCGGAGGATGGGAAGTGGAGAAAAAGAGACCACCTACGAAGGAGAGTGTCCCTTAAAAGTAAATGCCTCCTTCAGAGTCTGCTGAAGGAAGGATCGCGGAGGTCCATGCATCATAGTGAGCCCTACTTATTAACACTACAGGCTGGGAATGCACCTGACCATGAACTGAAGAGTGGAGGGTTTGCCTAGACAGCCCCCCCGTGTGTGTGTGTGTGTGTGTGTGTGTGTGTGTGTGTGTGTGTGTGTACATGTGCCTTCCTGTGTGTGCTGTGATATGTCAACCTGCAGGACCCACTACATATCAGGTAAAGATGAGCAAGGCATAGTCTCTGTCTCAAAAATGTTCCCATTTGATGGATGTTCTGAAACATCTTCCAAATAAGCCCTTCCCAGGGAAAGGCTGGCAGCTGGTGCTCGGGCTTCACTACCCCAGCTTGTCATGTTCAAAGTCCCCAGAGAAAGCGTATCAATCCCCCCACCCCAATTTGCCTCCTAAGGAAAGCGCCTGCAGCTCTCTGTATTTTTATCAAATTTTGTTGATGAGAGCAGATAATTTCAGAACGTGATTCTCCCTCCCAATGAGTCTCCAGGAGATCTGTGCTGTGGACATGTGCATCTCCAAGGAGAGGTGACTGCTGGAATGACAGTGTCACGTGGGAAGTGGCACAGGGTACCAGCCTTGGTCCTTGGTGGGTCCCAGCAACAGTTCTCTTCTCATTCTGGAAACCCTGTGCTCCCCCTTGCCCTGAGAAGTTGTAGTGGGACTCTTCAGTCCCGCCTTACTCAGGCAGATGGAATGTGATGGGGCCCTGGGGGACTTCTGCCGAAGACCACATTGGCTGGCTTTCCCCTTCAGCTAACCTCTACATCTAGCACCCAGCCCTGCCTTTCCAGACCGTGATCTGCAGTGACCTGCTCCTCAGTGCTGACTTGGCTCTCCCTGCACCAACCCTTGACCAAGCCTTTTGAGACAAGGTTTCTCTGTGTAGCCCTGGGTGTCCTGGAACTCACTCTGTAGACCAGATTAGCTTTGAACTCAGAGATCTGCCTGCCTCTGCCTCCCAAGTGCTGGGATTAAAGGCATGCACCACCATGTCTGGCTTGGTCCAGGTAATTCAGAATTCTTTATTGATCCTGTGCACTGCAGATCTTTATCAATATTCCTAGCCTTAGATGACAGGAGCACTCTCTTCTCTACTTGTGACAAATAAAAATGTCTCTAGGCACTGCCAGACCTCTTCTGGATGTCAACATCACCCCCCTGAGGAATACAAGACTGAGTCAAGACTGGTGGCCAGTGGGCTTCTCAGTTGGGGGCGGTCTCCCTCCTCTGGTTCCCCTGACTTCAGATCTCCATCCCCCTTGCTCCCTGCAGACACTAGCAAATTCCAAGGCCCCACCTGATGCTGTACTGGGACTTTACTCTAGGTGTCACAGTTCCAGCCAGCAGGTACGGTTTATAAACACTAAGCATTCAGGTAGCTCATCACTCTACCCATTTTACAGAGGTTCACCTACCAGAAGGCACAGAGTCCCTGAACTCAGATTTGAACTCACGAATGCTGGGTTTAAAGCCAGTTCTAACAATTGTACTTGAGCTGTCTTCCCCCATCATTTTCCTCCACCTCCAGAAAGCCGGGGAGTTCTCTCTTATTTGTGACCACCGTGTGGGCCCAGGAAGGGATCCCATTCCATGACTTATTTATTATTCTGGCCAGCTAGGGACCTCCAAGGTTCAAGCCTTCTTGGCCTGTCCCATAGGTGTCTCAGGCTTCTTCCAGGCAAGTGCAGTGGTCACTTCTAAGAGGCCCTGGGCTACTATTGTTCAGGCTTACTCCAGAATAAGGTAGCCCACAGAGGACTCCCCAACACAGATCCTATCTCACTACACGTTTGGAAAAGGAGGCTCCACTCCCAGGTCCCCTACTCCCAATCCCATGGGAAGGCAGGAGGGCCCATGCTCTCTAAAGTGCTTGAAAATGACTCCGGGGAAAGGCAGGGTGTCCAGGAACTATGACTGTAGGGATTCAGCCTGACCTGCTGGTGGGATGTTCTCTGTGGCTCCAACAGGGTCCAGGAAGAGGTGCTATCCCCTAAAAGCAATGGGCTCTCTTTGCCTCCCCAGACCTTTGTTCCCTTTGAACTGTGGGTTTTAAGTAAAAAGATGCCTGTTTATAGCATTAAATTATGATGCCAACATTAATGACGCTAAGTCTGGTCTGGCCTTGAATCTCTGTTCTGAGAACTTAAGGCTGTAACCTTAGGACAGGGGCGTAACATCCCTTGGCCTGATTCCCTAGCTGTAACACACAGGGAATGGAGTACGCATGGAGCTTGCTGTACTCTTGAGCAGGTCAGGGATAATGTGCAGGTGGAGACTAGCTCCCACAAATGCTCTAGAAATGCAACCACTGTAATGATCAGCAATGGGGTCACTTACTTAGGACGGAACCCCTAAGTTTAGGGGTCATTCATTCAATTGTTGGTAAGTCACTGGCCTGTGGCAAGCACTCTGTTACATATGAGGGATTCAACAGCAAGGCTGGGCAGTAGAGAGCTGGTGTGTCCGTCATGGGCATGAGCCGAGGGCTTGATGGAGTTGGATCCTACCAGCTGGGCAATGTGAGCATGCACCTAACCATTTGGTGATTCGACTTCCTCCAGCAGTGGAACCGACCTTACAGGGTTGTCATGAGATTCACATGCTGTGATCCATGGTAACACCAAACATGTCGGTTATCTTCTTCTCCTAGTGGCTCTCATCTTACAAGGTAGTTTATTTAAGGGGACTTTCATTGACTGTGCAACACCGAGCAGGCTCGCTGGGTAGAATGAATCACCCCACAAAGTAGATTTGTGTCATGGAGGTATTGTTAACTCAATGACTACAGAGTTGTTTCTATAAACTTTGTGCCATCATCTGGCTGCCCAGAGTCTTGCCTGGGCACAGAGCTCAGCTCCTGCCTCAAAGCCACATACTAGCTTCACCAGAGGAGGCTCAGGGCCAAGCCAGGCCTGGACACATTTCCCAAGCACAGTGTTTTAATCTTGTGAGTTTCGCAGCACCAAGTGTATGAGCATTTAACATCCATTATCTAATTGAAACCCTACACCAGCCTTACGAGGTCAACTTTATTGCTATGGCCATATGGTTTCTTGAATTCTGATGGCTAGCAAGACTCTTTTCCAGACAGGTGTTAAATACGTACTGGTTAACTGCCTGTAAGTCTTACCTTGTCAGTCAGGCTGCTGTTGCAGGCCGGGTGTGCCAGGAGTAGTCGTACCAAGTCGGCGTTGCCTTGGTGACAGGCCAGCATGAGGGCTGACGATCCATCATGGTCCTGCAGGTTGACATCCGCCTGGCAGCTCAGCAGCGCTTGGACCATGTCCTCCCGGTCGTGGCTAACCCCCAGCATCAGTGCAGTCTGGCCTCCCTGCACAGAGTGACCGGCAAAGGCTGAAGCTGGGTGTGGCCAGAAAAACTTCTCAAGGAAAGGCCATTGATCGGATCCTCCCTCTGCCTGTGGCATGGGACACATCCTTTTCTTTCTGGCTAACTTCGGCTTTCCCATGACTCCAGTCAAATCCTGTAACCTTTCCCCAGTGCTTCCCAGCCCGGGCAGCGTCACCCAGCACTTACTGATTGCATTTCAATTTCCCTTCATGCTTAGGGGCTAAGAAGTTGACAGCAGAGACTGTTGTTATTTTCTTGATTTTACCTTTTGTAGTACAGAGGATTAACTTCAGGGCCCCACACATGATAGATAAGTGCTCTGCTACTGGGTTCCCCCTAGGGACCATTGTTTTTGTGCCAGTCTCCCCAAGGCCTAGCACCAAGTATGTGATGGAATGTGCTGGCTGACCAGTGTGGGAAGGCTGTGCCCTTGCCCGGCCAGAGCTGCCTTTCCCTGGGAAGCCTCAGTCTGCTCAGTGCTCCCTGGGTTTTGTTGAATGATATCTGGAACCCTCTGGTCTAAACAAGACCTCTGTCTGCAGGCTCCATATCATTCCTAACCCCTGACCAGTGACAGGGTGGTTATCTTTTGTCTCCTCATGGTCCCCAGTGGACATAGCAATGGGTTAGACTCAGAGAACCAACCCAAGTTCTGTCTCTGCTCTTTAATGTGTGATAATGCCAGATTCTTGTTTTCCCTAAATCCTGGCTTTCCTTGGCTTGAAAATTAATCTTACAATTATTTTTCCTGCCGTGCAGTGGTGGCACATGCCTTTAATCCCAGTACTCAGGAGGTAGAAGCAGGTGGATCTCTGTGAGTTCGAGCCCGGACAGGACAGGCAGGGCTACACAGAGAAACCCTGTCTCAAAAACAAAACAAAACATTTTTTTTTCCCCCTGTGTGCCTTATGTGGCTCTTGTGGAAATCAAATGAGATAAAGAGTATAAATACAGTAACATGAAGTGGTAATTTTTCTGATTATAAAGTGACAATTATTTCTTATTTACATAGGTCTGCTACATGTTCCTATATTTTCTTACAGCCTTCCCCTATGACTTAATGTATTGTGCCAGCTCTTTTTGGGTTTGAAGATCAGGCTTGTTTCTCCAATGGAATATCAGGTTGCCGAGAATAAGGCAAGGTCTATGCCTTCTCTCCCTCCAGAACCCACTGGCTCTAGGGCAGTGGTTCTCAACCTCCTCAATGCTGCGACCCTTTCATACACTTCTTCATGTGGTGGTGACCCCGACCACATAATTATTTTTGTTGCTACTTCATAACTGTAATTTTGCTACTGTTATGAATCATAATATAAATATATGTGTTTTCCAATGGTCTTAGGCAACCCCTGTGTAAGGGTCACTTGACCTTAAAGGGGTGGCGACCCAGAGGTTGAGAGCTGCTGCTCTAAATAATGTCGTTCATGTCAAAAGCACTGAGGACATATTGCTAGTATAGTTTCAGTAACTACATAAGAAAGGGATTTGCAGTCAGAAATTTCCTGGCCCTGCCACTCAGCACTTGTGTGGACTAGACACGTGCAAGTTCATGTCTGCAGCCCTGCCCCCTGGAGCCGTGCAGAGACCCAAGGGCCGAGCAAGTTAATAAGTGTCTGTTGCCATTACCTAAGAGGGTTAGGGACAGTACACGGCAGTTGTTCAGCAGGTGAGTAGGAATAACTAAGTGTTTTGAGTGCCCACTTCTCTGGAACCCTGGCAGATCTTTCCCAGTTTGCCTTTGAGAGGGTGATTGCTCAGCCTGGAGGTAAGGGTTGCTCGCTAGATTAACTAGTCCTGAGGCTTCCTCTCCCCCACCACGATGAAAGCCAGGTGAGACAGCAAACAGCCCTCCTGAGACTCTGAGGCTCCTCCTCCTTACCTCCCTTCTGGTTTAGATTAATACAACTTAGTTTAGTTCAGTAGTTGGTCATTTTCAGAGTGGCACTATACACCAGCCCCTGCAGCAGCCTTGGAGATATGCAGATGTATTCCTCAGAGACTCCCAGCTCACTCCCAACCTGCTGGGCATGGCCAACCCCCTCCAGAGTCCCAAGGGAGCCAAGGAGAACAGCTACAGCTGTGAATCCCAGCTTTTTCTTGGTGTCCCGGACAAGACTCAGACCTTCCTAGAACCCATTGCACCCCAGGAAAGAGGAGGGACTGGCTTTGATCATGGTGAGCATCCCCTTTTCCTATTTAAAAAAAAAAAAAACAACACACCAACATGCTTGTTAGGATAATAGCATTTAAAATAAAAATACTGTATGGAGTCTTCTGGAATAGGAGTTGTATGTGGATGAGAATCCTTTGAAAACCAGAAAGTGAGTTACAAATACCTGTGTGCTACCGTCAGCAGGAAGTTATCAGACAACAGCAACATTTTCCCAGATGATGCTTCTGTGTGTGTGTGTGTGTGTGTGTGTGTGTGTGTGTGTGTGTGTGTGCAATATGTATGCGCAAGTTGTGTATGCGGGTGTATGAAAGTCATGCTCTACAAATGTCCATCTTATTTCTTTGCTGGCAGCCGGCAGCTTCAGCAATCTCCCTGTCTCTGCCGCCCACAGACCTGGGGTTACAGATGTGGGCGGATCCACACCTACATTTTTAATATGAGTATGGGGATCCAAATGCTTGCGCAGCAAATGTTCTAACCACTGAACTATCTCCTGAATCCCTGAAAGCTCTTGGATGAGGTATGCAAAGTGACTTTGTAGCCACCCAGGGTACTGTCGGCAATTTTGGAGAGTGCAGAAGAGTGGAGCTCAACACAAATATTTAAATTTTTTAGTTTATGTGTATATGTGTGTATTTGCCTGCACGTATGTCTGGGTTGTGGAATAATCTTTTTGTACACTGTAAAGATGTCATTCTGACTAGTTTAATAAAAAGCTGAATGGCCAATAGCTAGGCCGGATTTCCAGGCACAGAGGATGCTGAGAAGAAGGGCAGCGTTGCAGTCAGGCACAGAGGAAGCAGGAAACCATCATGGGCAGCAGCAAAGGTAATAAAGCCAGGAGGCAGAAAGTAAAGGAATAGAAATGAATTAATTTAAATTATAAGAGCTTGCTGGGCAGTAGTGGCGCACGCCTTTAATACCAGCACTCGGGAGGCAGAGGCAGGCAGATCTCTGTGAATTTGAGGCCAGCCTGGGCTACAGAGTGAGTTCCAGGAAAGGCTCCAAAGCTACATGGAGAAACCCTGTCTCGAAAAACCAAAAAAAAAAAAAAAAATTATAAGAACTAATAGGACAAGCCTAAGCTATTGGTGGAGCTTTCGTAATTAATAGTAAGTCTCCATGTTGTGATTTGGGGGCTGGCTGGTGGGACAGAAAAATCCGACTACATGTCTGTGCCCAAGGAGGTCAGAAGAGGGCATCAGATCCCCTAGAACTGGAGTTATAGATGGTTATGAACAGCCATGTGAGTGCTGGGAATTGAACCTGGGTCCTCTGGAAGAGCAGCCAGTGCTCTTAACCACTGAACCATATATCCAGCCCCCAGATGAGTTTTTAAAGTATGTTTACACAGCAAACAACTTTTGAAGAGGTGGTATCTCCTAAGACAGGTCAGGCTTGCTTATTGCCTATTATAGAAGATTCAGGCTCTCCAAATTCAGGGTTTCTCTCCTATACTACAGCTGCAATGGCTGCTAACAAGTGTCCTCCTGTGTTAAGGGCTGGCTACCTAGCCTCTCCCCCTCCTCCCTCTTTGCTTTTTCTCTCAGCAAGAGGCAGCAAATTCCTCTGCCGTGAGTTCCTGCCACGACATCCTGGCTCACTGCGGGCAAAAAGGCAACAGGACTAAGCAGGCAGGGACTGGCGCCTCTGAAATCAGGAGACAAACCTTTCCTTTGTGTAAGTCCCAGGCCCTCAAACATAGAAGGCAAGCACCCACTGCCACTAGCTACACCCTTTCATTATAAGGGACTGTCTTTCAGGTATCACTCATTCTGGTTGGTGGGGAGGTAAGGAAAAACAGGAGTAGTTTGAGACCTGGTGACTTTAAGGACCAAAGAAGCATGTCAGCCATATTGCTCAGTTCCAGCAGAATTCTACAGTAACCTTGTGGGTGAGAAGAGGCCTGGGAGGCAGGGATCCTCATAGCCCCCGGGAGAGGGACTGGTGACACTTTCCGCCTGTGCTGCTCCCCACACTCTCTCCGCCCGCCCGTCTAATGGAGATTCATGACTTCATTAAAATGGCTTTGGGGAGCTGGCAGAGAGATGGCTCAGTGACTAAGAGTATGTGTTGCTCAGACATAGGACATGAATTTGGTTTCCAGCACCCATGTGGGCAGCTCATAACCAACTGTAAATCCAATTCCTGGGGGATCTGACAATCTGACACCTCTGGCCTCCACAGACACCTGCATACACCTGGTACACATACACACACACACACACACACACACACACACACACACACACACACACACACTTAAAAATAATAAAATAGCTGAGTGTGGTGGCATACGCCTTTATCCCCACTTTCGAGGCAGAGGCAGGCAGATCTCTGAGTTTGAGGCCAGCCTGGACTACAGAGCAAGTTCCAAGGCAGCCAGGGCTATACACAGAAACCCTGTCTCAAAATAACAACAACAAAACCTTTTTGTAAAAGGCTTTAGAGAGGAGATGATTGGCAATAACTCTAAAGTACTGATCTTCCTAAATGTGTCCTGGGTCAAGCTCTGGTGAGTCACAGAGGTGAGGGGCTGCAGCAGCCAGACAGCAAAGTCCTTCCCAAGAGGCTAACATTAGGAATTTGGTTGGAAAAGTTAAGTCCAGGTGGAATTTTCCCTGTTTTAGTTTGGAACAGAAACCAGATGGCTCAGTGACCCCTGAGCCAGCCTGTCTAGGTCCCAAGAGTCTTTAAGGAAAATCAAATATTGGGGTTTTGGACAGATGTCGTCTGATGGCCCCAGCATTTTGGTGTGGAAAACACTCCGTGGATCTAAATGGAACCCATCGCACTGGCAGAATAAAACTAGAGGGTGTCACGCTGGTCGAGAAGCAGAGAGACCAAGCTCCCTCCACCTACCTGAGTTGCTTGGATGTTTACGTTCCCTTCTCGCAAGAGCTTCCAGACCACAGCCATGTCTTCTTTCGTCTCTGCAGAAGCCAAGGGAGTGATCATCACAGCAGTGTAGCCAGCCCTGTTCTGATGATCCACGTCGCAGACGCCTACAAGGGAAGGTGTGGGTGCTGGAACAGCCTGGGCTGCAGCCAGACCGCACTTCAACAGTTCAACAGGGCACGGCTGGCTACAGCTGGCTAGCTAAACACCACGGACTAGCACTTCCACAGCAAAGTCACGGGCTTACATTTTCAGCAGCCATTAGAACTGGCGAATTTTCTTTTCTTTCTTTTTTTTTTTTCTTTTCAGAGCTAAGGACCGAACCCAGGGCCTTGCACTTCCTAGGCAAGCGCTCTACCACTGAGCTAAATCCCCAACCCCTCTTTTTTTTTTCAATTAATTTTTTTTCATTTTACATACCATCCCCAGTTCACCTTCCCTCCCCTTTTCCCATACCCCCCATCTCACCCCTATCCACTCCTCAGAGGGGTTGAGGCCTCCCTTGGGTAGTCAACAAAGTCTGGCATACCAAGTTGAGGTGGGGCCTAGCCCCTCCCCCCTGCATCAAAGCTGAGCAAGGTATCCCACCATAGAGGATGGACTCCAAACAGCCAAGAACTGGCTAGTTTTCTCTACAGGTGTTCTGAGGATCCCCGGCAAGGGAGGACCACAAAAGGGCCAGAGACAGACAAAGGGTCAATGAATGACTTTATCTCGAAAACCTGGGCACGACACACAGTCTTCCTAGATGAGGACCTTCAAAGCCAGAGAGGTCACGTAAACTATCCACATGATGGAGGAGGTTCGGCCAGGATTTGGACAGCCTGGCAACAGATCCCATCCCTCTTCCAACCATACCACACTCACAGGTGTGCCCACAGGCTCACTCTGGCTAGCTCATCTTGTGTGGAGCTCAGAATGACGGTCAAGCCTGTAGGGCCTGCCCAAGGGCTCGTGTCCCATGTTCCAGGGGCATGAAAACAACACAGGGCCAACAGAACATCTTGGAGAGAGAGAAAGAACTTCCTAATTCTTGTACTGCAACAATGGCGAATATACCTTTCATGAGAAACTAAGATATTTTTAAGATGAGGTGGTAAACGATAATTTAGAAGAAACTCCTGAGCCGCAGCCCCAGGGATATGCTTTCATGTCCTTCTGCATCAAAGAGGCACATAGACTGAGACCTGGGGTCCAAATGACCCCACGCCAGGACAGTTTTGGGTGGAAATTCAAGGCTGTTGCTCATTACAGAAAGTTCCGTGGCTGAGGCGAAATTAAACCTGTCTCATTAGATCAGGACACACAGCCTGTTGTGTCCTCCTCCGCTAAGGGGAAAAGACAATGGGACCTACCTTTTAGGACTATTACAAAATTTATGGTTACTATAAGTAAATCACCAAGAATGGCACATAGCAAATACCGGAGACCACCAGCAGCCATTGTTATTACCATTCAGAATGACCCTTGTGTAGACTTGGATATTTGTTGCAACAAATCTGGCTTATGAAAATATGTGAATTAGGGCTACCTATAAGTTCTGTGAAATAAAAAAAAATTGCTTCATCTCACTCAAAGAATATTTCTGAAGTGTGCCATTGGAACACAGACACCAGCAGACACAGAAACCGAATCTGGCTCATTAGCAAGCTTTCTCCCTGAGTCCCCGACCATTGTCATGATCAGGCAGATGACAAAGTCTGGGTGACGGCTCTGTTCATCACAACTATGACCTGTTAAAGAAGTGGACGCCTTGGGCCAGTGAGGTGGCTCGGTGGGTAAAAATTCCTTGCCACCAACCTGACAGCCTGAGTTCAATCCCTAGGTCCTACATAGAAGAAGAAGAAGAGAACTTACTTTCACAAGTTGTCCTCTGACCTCTATCTACATGTATACTGTGGCCCATGTGTGTCCCTACCCCCATAAATATAATTCAAAGCAGGAGTGGATACCTGTGTTGCCTTCTTAATATATTTTAACTGTTACCCCTGACTGTTTTATATTTGCTTTAAGAAGTGCAAATGCCTCAGGTTACCAGCTTTCTCGTATCTCTTTAGAAACATAACTTATAGCACAGTAGAGTGGTGTCTCTCCCCTCTCCAGAGCACAGAAAGAGGCTGAGGACCTATATTCTTACAGCAGCTGCTTTTGAACAATGCCCAATGAGCAAATCAATCATTCATGGAGGAGAGAGAGGGGGAGGCTCTCAACTGAGCATGCTTCCACTCAACGAGCCGCAGTGGCATTCAGGCAAAATAAAGGGTACATTGCTAAAAGTTGCCTACGGAGGGTACTGTTTGACTCCCTCCTCAACAATGACTCACTTAGTCATGTACTTTCTGAATGTGTCATAACTGCCCTCTGAAGGGAGCCCACCTCTTTCATGGATGTTGAAGAATGACACATTCAGCTCATTCTCCCCAGCAGGCCTTCCGACTCTTGGCTTATATTTATTCAGCTGCTTTGGTGTTGTGGAATAATTTTTTTTTTTTTACACTGTAAAGATGTGTCTTTGCCATGGCACCTTCTGATTGGTTTAATAAAAAGCTAGGCAGGAGGTATAGGTAGAAGAGCCAGACAGAGAGGACACTGGGAAGAAGAAGGGCGGAGAGGCCAGCCAGATGCACAAAATTGGGTAGAGGTAAAAGCCACATGGCAGAACATAGATTAATAAAAATATGGGTTAATTAATGTATGTGTATTCTCACCTAGACTGTGTAGTTGCTGTTGCTCTTGCTGTGTTTAACCCCGCAACACAGAGCGTGAAAAGAAGAACAGAGCTGTGCTCTCCTGTACTACTACCACAGCCAATTAAGTCCATCATTCTGATGGTAGCCTTGAACCCAGGAAGAAGTAAGAGCAGGTCTGCTGGCTCAGTGCCAGGACTCTAATTTAATCCTTTGATGATGTCAGCATCGGAGAGAAGTCTAGGCTGGCATTGTGTACGCTACTTGTGCTGTCCCTGGGAAGAACCTCAAGTTGACTTAACAGAATTGTGGAAAGATGTAAGTTTATTGAAGTCAGACATCATTTATTCATTCAACTACTGTGAACTAATAATTGGTTGCTGGGTTTTTTGAGACAGGGTCTCATACTGTAGTTCAAGCTGGCTGGAAACTCTCTATGGAGCCCTGGCTGGTCTTGAATTTATGGCAATTCTCCTGTCTCAGCCTTCCAAATGCTAGGATTACAGACAGGGGCTATTATGTCTGGTTTTACTTTAAAATTTTTAGAAAACTAGTGTGTGTGTGTGTGTGTGTGTGTGTGTGTGTGTGTGTGTGTGTGTGGTGTGTGTGTGTGTGTGTGTGTGTGTGTGTGTGTGTGTGTGTGTGTGTGTTATTATGCACATGCATTCCATTATGGGTCTTGCCGGGCAGTGGTGGCGCATGCCTTTAATCCTAGTACTCAGGAGGCAGAGGCAGGTGGATCTCTGTGAGTTCGAGGCCAGCCTGGTCTACAGAGCAAGATCTAGGACAGTCACCAAAACAACACAGAGAAACTCTGTCTCGAAAAACCAACAAAACAAAACAAAACAAAAAAACAAAGAAAACCTCCAAACAATCAAACATTATGAGTCGTAGGAATCTCACTCAGGCCGTCAGGCTGGGCAGCAAGCACCTTTATCCACTGAGCCCTTTCCTCAGATCTTTGATCTGGAATTTTTTTCTTTTTAATATTTTATTTTTATTTTATTTTTATTTTTTTCTTTTTAATATTTTATTTTTATTTTATGTGTATGAGTTTTTTGATTGTATATTTGTATGTATACCAGGTGCATGCAGTGCCCTTGGCAGCCAGAAGAGGGCATCAGATTCCCCCTGGAACTAGAGTTACAGATGGTTGTGAGCCTTCAGGTATGTGCTGGGAACTGAATTTGTGTCTTCTGCAAGAGAATATTTTGTAGTATTCTTAGCCACTGAGCCATCAAAATAGCCCCAGATCCAGATAGCAGTAGATGCTGCCTCTGCCTTTTTCTCCTCTTCCTCCTTCTATTCTTTTTCTCTGAAAGAAGGTCTCACTATGTAGCCTTGGCCAGCCTAGAAGTCATTATATAGACCAAGCTGGCCTTGAACTCACAGAGATCTGCCCAGAGTGCTGGGATTAAAGGTGCACTCCACCCTGCGCAGCAGATCTGGATCTCTTTTTTTTTTTTTTTTTTTTTTTTTTGGTTTTTCGAGACAGGGTTCCTCTGTGTAGCTTTGCGTCTTTCCTGGGACTCACTTGGTAGCCCAGGCTGGCCTCGAACTCACAGAGATCCGCCTGGCTCTGCCTCCCGAGTGCTGGGATTAAAGGCGTGCGCCACCACCGCCCGGCAGATCTGGATCTCTTAATAGCCTTGTGAACATTCCGCCTGAATGACCCATCGTTAACTTGAAACCCTCTCCAAGTGGAACACTGTCTTTCCCACACTTGGTCCTTCCTGTCTACAGTATCATCACTTTCTCAGGCACCTGAGCTTGACAGGTCATGCCACTCTCCTCACACCTCACAGCTAACTGGTCTCTTCCACCCTTTGGATACAATCATCTCCACCTATGGAAGGCCTGCGCTGTCTCTCTGTGGACCCCTACAATGCCCTCCAGTCTGCCTGCCACCTCCTCACCTGTGGCTAATCCAGTCCTACCATGAGGTCACACTTCCTAAAGGATTTATTGGCCATGTGCTTCCTACACAAAAACCTGCTCAGCTTCCCAGCACCTTCCAAACAGAATTCAAATACCATCAGTATCCAAGGGCCTGCACATGCAGCTCCAGCTTAGCTTCCCAACCTTCATTCGTCTACTGTACAAACCAGAAACCTTTTGACTCCAGGGAGGTTTTCTTTTCTCATGTTCTATAGTGTTCTCTTCTTCTGGGACATGTCACAGGTTGCTCCAGGCACCTTTCCTGCTCTCTGAACTGGACACTGTATCCCTTTTCCATCTTGAAATCACATCTAGATCTCTCTCTTCTGAGCCTTCATCCTACTCCACTCTGATTTTTTAATGATTATTTTAGCATTTTATCTGTAAAGGTGTTTTGCCTTCATGTATGTATGTGTACCACATGCATCCCTCGTATCTGCAGAGGCCAGGAGAGGGTATCAGATGTCCTAGAACTAGAGTTATAGACATGTGCATGGTAGTTTGAAAGAAAATAGCCCCCCAAAGTGTGTGGCACTATTATGAGGTGTGGTGTTGTTGGAGTAGGTGTGGTCTTGTTGAAAGAAGTGTGTCACTGTAGAGACAGGCTGTGAGGTCTCCTCTATGCTCAAGCCACGCCCAGTGTCACAGTCTACTTCCTGCTGCCTGCATATCGACATGTCGCAGCTACCTCTCCAGCACCATGTCTGCCTGCATGCTGCCATGTCCTGCCATGATGATAATGGACTGAATCTCTGAACTGTAACTGAGCCACCACAATCAAATGTTTTCTTTGTAAGAGTTGCCATGTCGTGGTGTCTCTTCAGAACAATAGAAACCCTAACTAAGAAGAGCTGTGAGCCTCCATGTGGGTGCTGGGAAATGAACCTGGGTCCTCTGGAGGTGCAGCCTGTTCTTAACCGATGAGCCATCTTTCCAGGCCCCAACTCTGGTTTAAGCTATAAGCTTCCTAGAAACAGAGGGCTCACTCCTGGTTCACCTTTGCATCCCTGATTCATAAGTCATAAGAAATCAACAGATACTTAATGAAAGATACATGAGTCAAACTGGTTAATTGGAGCCATGCTTTTGTTAATAGTGTTTTATGGAGACAAGAGACGGTGGCCTTTCCTAAGATGTGGCACAACTCTGGAGGTGGACAGACCAAATGCAAATCTGCTTTATGACCTGAGCAAATTCTATAACCCCAAGTCTCAGTTGCTCATCTGCAACATGAGAGGGATCGTACTGATGACACCATAGGGGTGAGCAATACTATGAAGAATAATGGCAGAGGACAGGCAATGGGGACTTGCTTCTGTGGTGCATATACTAAGATAGGATGCTACAGAGGGTAGCCTGGGCCCTGTGCAAGGAAGACATGCAAACTTGTGAAGATTTCCTCATTAAGAAACAAAACAACAAAACATGCCTTTAATCCCAGCACTTGGGAGGCAGAGGCAAGTGAAGCTCTATGAGTTCAAAGCCAGCCTGAGCTACCCAGTGAAACACTGCTTTGAAAAACAAACAAACAACAAGCAGGCAAATGGTCTGGCCCCATTCCTGGACTACAAGAGGAACCAGAAGATGAGAAAGGAGTGTGATACAAGAGGGCCCCTTACTGTAGTCCCAGATACTCAGAAAGCTGAGGCAGGAGGATGATTTGAGTCTAGGATAGCTTGGGCAACATAAAAAGATCCCATTTTATAGGAACAAAGAGGTGGGTCTTTAGAGAGACACAGATGCCTCGGAGCCATTTCTGACCTGTGTCCAGCAGCAGCTTCACAATGGCGAAGTTGGAGTGTGACACACTGTAGTGAAGGGCTGTGTTCCCACTTCGGTCAGCCAAGTTGACAAGCAGCTTCAGAAGATGTGGGGAATAAGGCTGGACCTCGAGGAGGTAGGCGGCCACCACTGCAGGGCTCGATAACTTCCGGCTGGATACACGGAACCACTCTTGACTGATGGTATTCAAGCTTTGCCTCTGAGATGGCAGAAATTCTGATTACAAGAGATTCCCTGGCCTAGGTACCCTAGTTAGAGCCCCAGTGACACTTGGATAGGTCAGCTTTTGGATGCTTCTCTCTCTCTCTCTCTCCTCTCTCTCTCACTTCCCTGCAGCTCCTCCTGTGTTTTATCTGGGGGATCTGAGACGGCAGGACCAAGAATCCCACAGCACACTCGATGCTGGTGTGTTTCTCCCCACCCTCCACTTCCCACGCATTGGCAACCACATACAAAACAACCACATACAAAACACATATCAAGCAGGGACAGCAGCTCTGTGTGTGACAAGCCCAAATGTTTAAGGCCATATATTTAGAATATTTATCTAAAGGGCAAGGGATACTACTGGGATGTGGTTATTATAAATGGTTTTATGTTCATTCTGGAAGGGGGACCAGGTTTAGTCATTAAATCTACATAACCAGACGCAAGCTCTGGCTCAGCCATGTGATTATACACCCTCATGGAATACTTCTTGTCCCTGTGATAAAATGGGGCCGGCTTCCTTGTTTCCATGGTTCTACAGGGTGAGGTAATTTTAAAACCTATTGGACAGGGGTAAGGTGGCAGAGATGAAGGGGATTCGCATCCTACGGTTTGATGGAATGTGGGGTGGTGCCAAGCTTGCATGCACGTGAACTTGTGCATGCACATTTCCAGAGTGGAAATATCAGAGTCGCATGTGGCTGAATCATTTCTCTGTATCAGAGTATCTTCTCTATCTAGGGAATCGAGAAATCCTGGAGGAAAGCCATGGTGTTATGGAATATAGTGGTAGATTTTAAACCAGGAGCTGAAGCTGGTGGAGTCCTTGCTGAGCATGCATCCCATTCTTAGCACCACCTAAAAGCAGGCACAGTGGCAGCTGGAGGCAGCAGGATCAGAAAGTTCAAGGTCACGCTTGGCTATATGATGAGTTTGAGATCAGGCTGGACTGTATGAGACCTTATCTCAAAATAAATGAATGAATGAACAAATAGTTAAAACTGAGCTTAGTTATGTAATCTGAGTATCAGGAGTCTCCATCAACATTCACCTCACGTATCAGCTCCTTAACAATCTGGGGAATGCTATTTGCCAAATCAGCTAAGATTAAAAAGAAACAAAAAAACAAAAAATGGGTTGGGTGAGTAACACACACTGCAGAATTGATCATTTTTAATCTCTGGGCTGCTCTGCTGAGGGAGCAAATGGGCTTTGAAAGTGCTTACAGGTTTTTCCACTTTGGGTTGGACAGCTGTCTCCTGGCTCAGGCCAGTAGCCTTTGATTAAAAATAGAACACAAGAATTACAGGTTCTAATCTCCATGGGACATAAGCATGGGCCAGATCAAATGGAGGTATGTTCTTATTTTTGGTCTCCTGACCCATCAATACATGTTAAGCAAAACAGTGATATGGTAGAATCAAGTGTGAGGACTCGAGGTGATGGAGACAGGCTACCAACTGTCATTTATTGATGAGGAGACCAGGCCTTGAGCATTGAATTAACTTAACTGCCTTCGGAAGAGGTCCTGGAAGTAAAACCCAGGTCACATTCCACATGCCTTTTCTACTTTACCCATGGTTTTGTTGGACTGCAAGGCACTTTGAAACCTAAGTCACAGAGTTTAGTGGTAGTTACAACTTCTAGAAACACTTGGTACAATGCCTCTGACCCCATGGCTAGCTTTCTTGTGCATTAATCCTTCTGTTCCCTCAGCCTAGCCCATCTCCTGAGGGGACAGCATTTGGGTAAATCACAGAATGCCTGAGGAGTGAGACTCTGTGTGCACACACACTCTGCTGCCTCAGATAAGGGACCAAAGTCACCCCATTGGAAACCTCCGTGAGACAGTGGAAAGTCCAAGTACCAGGAGCTGCTCGGTGGTGGCCCCGGTTTCCGGCAGGTGCTGGCTCAGTGCCTGGCATGCGGTAAGAAATTCCTCTGAGGGTTTACATCTAAAGAAAATAGAGAGATTATATCGTTCAATTTACTGACAAAAGAAGACATTCACTGTCCACCTGCAGCAGCTGAAATGCTCAAAGCTGGGAGACTACTCCACAAGAGGGACATTCCTAAAAAACATGGCTGCTCATAGTTCTATGTGGCTTGGCAGCTGAGTGCTTCTTGCTTTTGGCAGGGGCTGGAGCAGAGAAGGAAGGCATTGGGGCAAAGGCCCCACACTAGTCATTGGCATGCCAGGAAGGAAAGTACTTCCTGCCTGGGTGCCCAGAAAAGCCAAAGAACCTAATGCATATGAGCAGACTCTTCTGGTTAGTCCCCCCATGAGAAGCTGTGAGGTCAGGGTGTCCCAGTGACAGGCACTTGTCCCATGACTGTGAGGACCTCCTCTCTCATGGAGATTTAAAAGCATGGTCTGCTTGGGCTGTTGTAATGGAGTTGCCCAGCTCTGGTCTTCCATCCTCCAAACCCAGGCTCAGGATGGCAGAGGTGACGTCAGTGGTTCTAGCTGGCCTATTTCTATGTATCGAGGGCCGACTCTGTGCTAGGCAGTTGACAGCATTTCTTCATACAGTCCTCAGATACAACCTATCTGACTGCTTTCTCAGATGAGGACATTGAGGGGGCTGTGGGTTAAAGACCCTGATGGTCAAAGTGTGGAACTACAAGTGTGGCCGCTGTCACCAGCCGCATGAAATCCCAGCCCTCAGGCTATGACAGAAGAGGCTGCGTAAGACTCAGAAGGCCAGGGGCCCAAATCCTTGCCCTACTTGGGGCATCACCTCATCTCCCAATGCCTTTGTTTCCACATCTGTAAAGCAAGTGTTGCAGTAAGTGCTAAATTCTAGGACTGCTAAGAGGATTCCTAAAGTATGTGTCAAGTCTGCCCTATTTACAGTGCCAACAGATGTTGGTTTTACACAGAGAACCTGGGCCATTTGAATTGTTCCTCCTGGAGGCAGGGGTCACATTTGTTTGGTTCACTTAGCACAGGGGTTGGCACAAAATAGAACCTCCACAAACATTGCTGATCGGATGGGTAAAAGTGCACACACACAATGGGACTAGATGGAGGAGAAATATGCCCTTATCTCTCTTCAGAGGGACATGTGTCTCATTTCTACCTACGTGACTCACCTCTCAGGCCTCAGATGAGAGACTTCCTCCCCAGGCCCACTTGTCTGGCCTGAGTTACTGGTGCCTTCGGGGACACCCTGCTCAGCCTCACAGGCAGCATGCATGTCTCTCTCCTGTGTGGGCTCTGAGCAATCACGCTTCTTCTCGGTCTCACTGTCAGACACGTCCTCAGGAGAGCTGTCCTCCCCGCTGGTCTCCTCACTGGAAGTGGTCTCATAGCTAGGAAAGGACACAAAGGCCATTTGGTCCATGCTTCGTGACCAGGGCCAGTGGTTCATGTCAACATCAGTACGTGCGTCTGGAACCCTATGCTCAAGAGAGGAGCCCAAGTCTAGGCTAACATCCCTACACCCACCTTCGGTTCCTGAACTGCCTCACTTCTCTGTGTGGCCAGGAATCCTTTAGCCTCCTGCTCCAGCCTGGATTACATCTGACGGTGGTGAACCCCTCAATACCTGCTCCACACAGGCTCTGATGTGATAATAGCCACAAATTAAATGGCAGTGGAGGGAGGAAGACTTACTTCAAGTTGAACGTAGGTTGGGCATACCTGCAAGTTCAGCACTCAGGGGGGGTGTGTGCGTGCGTGCGTGAGTGCGTGCGTGCGCATGCGTGTGTGTGTGTGTGTGTGTGTGTGTGTGTGTGTGTGTGTGTGTGTGTGTGTGTGTGTGTGATATAGGCTCTTAACCTTGGCTGTACACCAGAACCTCTGGAGTGTTTAGCATTCTCAGTGTGTAACTGTACCCCAAGCTAACTACACCAGGCTCCATGATTGCAATCAAGAATTTCCAAGGCCTGGTGTCCCTGGTATGTAGCCACGCTGAGCACCATGGTTCCAGAGCCCCAAATACTGAGGAATGGCCGGGCCAAGACTCTCTGGGCAGGGCAAGCAAAGAGAAGAAAGGGAGGTGGCCAAGCCATCAGGCCCCTCCAGGTCTGGCCTAGAACCCCTTCAGGCTTCTGTAGCACCCGGTACCTCTTCACCAAGAGAACAGCCAATCAGCAGTTCCCCCTTCCTTATTTTTTTTTAAAGGATTTATTTATTTACTATGTATACAGTGTTCTGCTTGCATGTATGCCTACAGGCCAGAAGAGGGAAGGAACCAGATCTTATAATAGTTGGTTGTGAGCCACCACGTGGTTGCTGGGACTTGAACTCAGGACCTCTGGAAGAGCAGCCAGTGCTCTTAACCTCTGAGCCATCTCTCCAGCCCCCCCTCTTTTTTTTTTTTTTTTTTTTTTTTGGTTTTTCGAGACAGGATTTCTTTGTGTAGCTTTGCACCTTTCCTGGATCTCGCTCTGTAGACCAGGCTGGCCTCGAACTCACAGAGATCCACCTGGCTCTGCCTCCCAAGTGCTGGGATTAAAGGCATGCACCACCACTGCCCCCCCTTCCTTATTTTTTAAAAATTATATTACATCTGTATATTCATTTGTGTTCTCTCTCTCTCTCTCTCTCTCTCTCTCTCTCTCTCTCTCACACACACACACACACACACACACACACACACACACATCACATCACAGTGTGTGTATGGTCGGAGGACAGTCTGAGGGAATCTGTTCTCTCCTTCCATCTTGTAGGTCCTGGGGATTGAACTCAGGTCCTCAGACTTGGTGGCAAGCACTTGTACCAGCTGTGCCATCTCACTGGGCTCTCTGTTTCTTGACTTACCCATGAGCTAAAGGTAGCAACCAGGATTTACTTGCCTTTTTTTTTTAACCCTGTCACCTAGCTTATAGCTGTCTTTTAATGACCATTTGTGAAGTGACCCATTTAGGTATAATCTAAGAGCAAACCATTCAACCACAAACTGCATACACCCCAGATTACATTGCTTAGTGACGTCACCGACGTCTTAGCTTGTGCAGTACTCTGATGTTCACACGGTGATGGAATCCCCAACTATGCCTTTCTCAGAATGCAGTCTTACTGCTAGATGACACGTGACCATACGTAATGCTCAGTCTCCCAGTCTAGGGAAGGCTTGGCTCCTGTTCTCTATCAATGGACTAGTTGTTTTGGGTTTGATTTGCAGAAGAAAAAAAATGGATTGGGTTTGGGGGTGTAGTGGTAGATAGAGTACCCACTACTGTGTGCAAGACCCGGGTTCAATTCAATTGTTTATTTCCCAGCACCAGAAATAAACAAAGAGATCAAACTTGAAGTTCAACAAATCAGCCAAGCTTGTGATAGTTTCAGTGTTGTGTTCAAAGGGCCCAGAGACCCTGAAACTCCCACAATCCCCCTGGAGGTGGGCCCTGAGGAGACCAGGACAAACCATTAAAAGTAGAGGTTCTAGCAGACCAGCACAGCTGACAAGGAGTCAGACGTGGGCCAACCCAACAGTCCACGGAGATGGAATCCCTGCCGAACACTGAGACGCAGCTGGGTCCCCCAGGACAAGGGTGCTAAGGACAGCAGTAGGTTAGGTTGCAGGGAAGGCAGTCTGAGCTTCACAAGCGATGCTTACCCACCGTTAACCCCAACAAACTGAAGGTTCTTTTTGGTCCCATTACCTCCTGCACGGAAGCCATAGTCTTTCTTTTTCATTATGGATTTAAGGCTGGTCGACGGAGAGATCTCTAGGCAGACACAATATCACAGGTTAGAATGACCTTGGGGCAGCCAGACTAGGATTCTTGCTTTAATAGGGATATGAAAGGAAGAAAGGAGGAGCAGGGGGCAGATAATGCAGACTGGATGTTTTAGGGCTGTTAGTCAGAGGCCCTTGGGTTCAATGATTGTAGAACTGTCCCTGGGAATGATGTCACTCTTTGTATGACAGAGTAGCTATTGGAACACTTCTCAGAACATGTGTGTGGTGTCAGCACTGTCTTTATCTCGGGGCTGGGAAATGTGGCGCTCAGACTTGCACACAGGATGGTATGGCAGAACTCAGGTCTTTGGATGCTGGTCAATACCCATCTCTACTCAAAGGCCTCTCAATACTCTTCTCGGAGAGTGTGCAAGTTACCACCTGTGATGACACTGGACTCAGGACTGATATGGGAACCAGGTCACAAATCTTGTGCTATGTAATGGCATGGAAGACAGTTCCCCATAGGCAAATCTAGAAGTAGCCGATAAGTGAGAAAGTAGCAGGTTTGTGACCTGTGGCAGGGAGCCGACTTGTGCTCTGCAAGGCACTCTGTGGTTTAGTGTTGTTCAACAGTGAAGCGTGCGTGTGATGTGACCCATTAGGTCATTCCTGCTCAGCTAAGGGGTAACCTCTATACATGAGCATCCCTTCCTCCCTCCTTCCGTTCCTCCTCCTTGCCCTCACTCCTTCCACCCATTCCTCCCTCTTCCTATACCCCAAGTATTAAATGAACTATTTCAGGTCTCTTTATAATGTTCCTTCAAACTGAAGCTAGAGAAAACCTCTGATGTGAAAAGCAAGAAAGGAAGGTGGGGTTTGTCCAGGAAGCACAAAGGAAGGCCCAGGAGGAGTGTATAGGTAGTATTCTTGGTCTTTGACGTGGCCCTATACATAATGCATCGCAGACAAGGTGCCCTCTGGGCAGACTCATTGCTGTAGGATTATGGCTTGGCAAATGGGTTTCCCTCCATGCTGGGTATCTCTGTGGCCTGTGCTATCTCTTTAGCTGTATGTGGAAGTCCTGCAGCTAGACACAATCCAGCAACAAGGTTTCCACTGATCAGTTTTTATTCCCCTGAGTCCCTGGGTGTGTTAAAATCTTTTTCAAAAACATACTCACAATTAAAACCCCCAGTCCCCACAATTTGTCATGTAAAGGAGAAGTAGGCCCCAGGCATCAGTACTTACCCGGTGGCGGTGGAGGGGTGGATGAGGGTGGGGCAGGTGGCTCCTTCTGCTCTGGGGCCTGGGCTGAGTAAGCAGAGAGCAACAGGTTGAGGGAACTGAGCAGCTGGTTCTGAATGCTGCTGAGCTTGGAGGCAGGCTGCTTGATGGCGCTGGCCAGCTCCGGGTACCCATGCTCCAGGCAGTTCCACTGTTCATGAAGAAGTTCTTGGATCTTCTTAACATACTGGCCGATTGTGGCATCCTGTGGGGAACTGGCGGGCCTTCCAGGTAGCTCAGCCCCTGGGAATTCTGAGCTGGCCTCCTCCCTGATCACTGAAGCAGACTCTCTGCTGTTGCTCCAGGGAGAGGCTCCTGTTACCCTGCTTAAGTCCTCAGCCCCCACCTGTGGGCCTCTCTCCTGCTCAGAGACATCTTCTTTGATCCTGAGCTCCATGGAGAGGCAGCTACATAAGGACGAGGCAAGGACCTGTTCAGGTCCCCTTGCCAGGGACAGCTGGGGTGGCAGCGCAGGTTCTTCGGGACTCTGATGGCCTTGCTTGGGACTACTTTGGGCCCATGGGAAGCCATTCTTCTCTGCTCTAGATGCCCAGCATTCAGGATCTGGGGTTCTCATCAGGTTGACTCCAATGTTCTTGTCACAGGAGTCCTTGGGGGTGAGTTCACGAAGAGGATCAGTGTTTACCGTGGCATCGGTCTGGTCCAGAGCATTACTGGCCTTCTCTTGACTAAGTTTTTCTTCTAACCGGGCTACAGTGCACTCCAACTCTTGGATCCTCTGTTCCCTTGCCTTGGTCTCCTCTTGCTGCCTCGTGAGGGCGGCTCTGACGTGGGCAAGCTCCTCTGTTCTCTCTGACAACTTGTCCTCAAGGGCCAAGACCTGATTCTTCAGGCTGGAGACACTGTTGGTATCTGTCCCCACCAGGCCCAAGCTTTCCTCTGTTACCCGGATACCAATGCTCCTCACATCCACCTCTATGGGTGGAGGAGGTGGGATCTCACTGATACTGAGCTCAATTTCCTCCAGGAAGAGTTCACTCTCAGGGATGGGGGATGGCAGAGGGGGTGGGCTGGGTGTGGAAGAGCCGGGAGTTAGCACCACCTCTGCCTTTCTGGCTTGTTGCTGAATTTCCGCATTCCCTAGAACCATAGGTACATTCTGGACTGAGGAGGGAGGACCTGGCTGAGAAAGGTGAATGGAAGCCTTTATGGCACCTTCTTCAGGCTCAGCTCCCTCCATGACCAGCTCTGGAATTGCTGGTTCCAGCTCTCCCACCTCTCTGTCTGTTGATTGGGTTGATGCTTGGAAAGCTGTGAACCCTTCTGCAGGGTCAAAGGTATCATCACAAACACTGCCTTCACCCTGGAGCAGTGTGGAAGGAACCGGGGTCAGGCTGGACTCATCGGGGGCCCGGTTTTGTAGCAGAGTAGCAGGCATGCTGGATGCTCTCAAAAGCAGGGGCCGTCCACTCCCACCATCCTCCAGAGCACCAGCCTCTGCCTGCCCGGTATCCTCTGCCAACAGGGCCTTCCTGTGATAGCTGAGCTTACTACCATACATTGAGGCCTGGGGGACGTCACCCAGTGGCAGTGACTGGGATTGCTCCTGGGTCCCCAGGGATATCTTTCTGGGCACCACAGGAGACCAGTTTTGCTGAGGAGGAGCAGCATGGATGCGAGCCCCACTGTCAGGAAGGCTGAAGTTTCGGGGCAAAGTACTAAACTTCGCTTGCTTGGCTCTTCTGTGGATAGGAATCCTTTTGATGGTGTGTCCCTTCTCAATATCATCCACATATTTGAGGAAATCCAGGTCCAAATGAAAGCCATATGGGGTCTCCACAGAGTAAGGGTGGCTCTTTGCAGGATCTTTCTCTTCATCCCCCCGAGAGGACTGGTCTTTGGCTGGGAGATATGAGACATAAAGAAATAAGCACAAAGTTAAAATGAGGCTGAATGTCTGTGACTTTGACCTCACCTTACCGTATGAGCCTTCCCTTTGATGCTCTAGCCTTCGGAGGATGCTGGGGAACCTACGGACTTGATGCCTGTGCTGGATATCGTCTTACCAAACCAATGCATATTTAGCCAACGTCTGTGCTTTCTTATTTTCAATATGCCATTTCAGTTGTTATCATGAACCTACCCGCAGGAAAACAAATTTGCCTCACACTGTTTTTCTGGGTTGCATTGCGTAACGGCTGAACTGAAGTCCAGCAATTTGTCAAAGGAGGGTACCGACTGATAATTATAGACTCGGAAGATTCTGCAGGATGAGATACACAATTTTCTCAACATTCAAAAAGAAACTGGTATGCCTCAAATAGGTTCCAGCAAATCTTGCAAAAGGCTAAGATATTGATAATTTATGACTCCCACATTTCTTAAGCTCCTGGGGTGCCTAAGCCTCTGGTTACCTAAAGACCAACAGGAACTAGAGCAGGTGATCATGGATGCCCAGTTTTCCTTCCCCCTGAAAACTGAGTAGGATGATAAACGTGCTCACTATTATAGTTACTATTTTTGTGGAAGCCCAAAATGTAGAGAACTGAGGTCCCATGATGGATGTCAACGTATGTGACTCACCACTGGGAATGAAGGAGGGCTTACACACATTCGCTGGGATTAATTGATTGCTGGGTTTTAGTGAAAAAATACAAAAACCATCAGCAATTCAATCCATACACCTCAGCTACTATTTACCGAGTGTCAGTTGCTGAGCTATACATTCTAGAGACACAAAGATAAGCAAGTCAGTAACAGCCATTTCTCTCAAAGGATTTATGATCAGATACTGCAGCAGCAAACACAATGCAATGTGCTGGGTAACTGGACATTGTATATAGTAGTCTTCTTCACTGACTTATTTTCCCCCTTTCTCTGGAAGTCTTTTCTTGGATATGGAGGAAAAATTTGCCTTGCTAATGGAGGGAGACTTTAGAAGAGTGACGTAAGATGGCAGATTCTATGAACAAATAGAAATTTGCCAGAACAAGAGGGCAAAAGACTTTGTAGCAGTTAATCCCCGAGATGGCTCTGTCAATTCTTAGCCCCTTTAGACAAGCAAGCTAATTCCACCAAGAAGGGGAAATCTATTTCTTCACCACTTTGAATCTCTGCTGGCTTGCAATGCTTTGGCCAAAAGAATATGGCAGGGAGGATGCTAAGAGAGCTCTAAAGTTAGACCATAAGGAGACTGGTAGTTTCTATCAGGGCCTCTCAGAATGCACCCATGTCGGGAAGCTAGCTACCATATAAGAACTCTCTGAGATTGTCATAATGTGAGGACGCTTAAGCAGCTTCCCATAGAAGTTATCTCGAGAAGGAGAAGGAATGGAGAGAGGGAGGAATAGAAAGAAAGACTGTCCTAGCCATCTTAGCCCAAACACCAGGCATAAGTATAAAGGAACATCAGACTTTGACTACAGGAAGGACCCAAGCAAGGAGCTCTCAAGCTAAATCTGGACCAGTAATCAATTACTGTGGGAAGCCATTAAGTTTCAGGGTGGTCCGCTCTGCAGCAGCAGGCAGTCATTCTCCAGGGTAGAAGGCAGTGAAATGGCAAAGACACAGAGGTGTGGGCTCACAAAGCCCTCCATGGGTGGGTAAAAGTTTATATGGCCACAGCTTAAAGTGTAGGATTGAAGAGTTAGGAGAGAAATACAGGATGGGGAAAGTGAAGAAAAGCCGGATCCTGAAGCAACTTGTATACATGACAACCATGTGACTCACTGTCTAGGTCACAGGATTCCCTAGCAGGTTTTAAGTAAGGAGTACACTGGTGAAATTTCAAGGAGAGGTGTTTTGGGGTTTTTGTTTGTTTGTTTTTGTAGTTGCTTTGGTTTGGTTTCGAGATAGGGTCTCACTGTGTAGCCCAGGCTGGCTCTAAATTGTCAATCTTTCTACCTCACTCAGCCTCTGGAGCACTGGGATTATAATTGTGTGACGTCCTGCACAGCTCAAAACGAACATTCTTGCAAAGGACTGAAAGAAAAATAAATCAGAGGCCTGGCCTGGGACCAGTAGACAGATTGTTGACATGGCCAAGGTGAGAAAAACTGGAAGTAATTTGGAGGGAAATAGACGGGCTTTAAGAAGGCATAATGGTGGGATTGCTGGGGGAGACAGCCCGGGGCTGTGCACCTGCTGGCTCCTCCTTCTAGCAGTGCTACATGCCTGCCCAGTGACTCTGCTTAGGTGTCTCTAGAGAAGGGGATGAAGCCAACTTGACACAGGAAGTCTCTGCACCACTATTGCTAAATAGATCTACAGGCCCGTGGGTGATTGTTAGAACCACAGCAGAGAGCAGAGTGAGCTTCTCCTGAGTCACACCATGGTCCCTGCTGGGCTTCAGACTTCCAGTAGACAAGAGGCAATGTGCCTCCGGCACCCAAATACCTCCACATAACCACATAACTTGCCATCTACCCACACAACTTTTTCTCCCAACTTGCCCACTTGCCAAGGAGACACACTGCAATTACAGTAGTGTGGCCATTTTCTGTTATTGCTTGTGTTGGTTTCCTAAGCTGTGCCCTGAAGCCTACTGGCCCACTCAGAAGAACCCTTGATTAGGAGAAGTCAAGTCAGAGAGGACATGGCTGTCCAAAGTGGGGAGATTCATGACCCAGAGCAGAGACTTCTCCTAAAGGAGAGGCTGTACTGTTTATTGCATCTGTCTATCACCTCTATGCAGTAGAAATGCTCTGATTTTCCCAGGGGCCTCTGGGAGCAGATCTGGAGCATGAAGACATGGCATCAAGTAGGAATCAGAGTGTTGAAAGGCAGAGAGAGCCAAGGGGAGCCAAAGGAGCCCGAGACTGAGAAGACATCAGAGGAAAGAGGTTTATGGGTCTGGAGTGATGGCTCAGCAATTAAGAGTACTTGTTGCTCTTCCAGAGGACCTGAGTTCCATTCTCAGCCCCTATGTCAGGCAGCTCACAACTGCCTGTAACTCTAGCTGGCCTCCAAGCACACCCACAGAGCATATGCTTACCCAGGCAGATGCACATAAATAAATATATCATTTTTAAGAAGTGAGATGTTTAAGAGGCAGCTTCCTACATACACACACATACCCATACTCACATATCAATTTGGTGATTCTCATGTTACCCTGCATGCCACCCCATCTCCCTGTATTCTTCCTTTCCTCCCAGGGCAAGAGTCATGCTGGAGCTTGAGCATTATGCATAAGACCCAACCTCACATTAAGATGGGCTCTTGTTAGTTCTATCTGGTATGCAGGAGCTCGGGCAGGGGGTCAAGGCAAGAAGTACTTAGATCAGTCCCTGTTCAAAATAAAAGTTAGATCAGGTAAACCAACCTTTCTACTTATGTGGCTCTGGAAAAAGAATCTCATTTCTTTATGCCTCAGTTTCTTCCTCTGTAAAGTAGAGAAAATATTACCTGACTTGTAGACTGACTATGTGGGTTCTTACTGAGGCTCTTACAGGTAGAGATGGGGAGGTATGATGGGAGAGGACTGGCTGTGGATTCTCTCCCTGGGTTAATTAACTCTGTGAGCATCAGAGCTTGACTCTGTGTGTGTGTGTGTGTGTGTGTGTGTGTGTGTGTGTGTGTGTGTGTGTATGTGTGTGTGTGTGTGTGTGTGTGTGTGTGTGTGTGTGTGTGTGTGTGAAAGTCTCCCCAGAAAACTGGAGAAACTGGGGCAATGAATCAGGGGGAGAAGAAAAAGAAAACCATGAGAGATTCAGAGCTACTGGGAACTGTTTTGCTCTAAAAGCAACGTTGGTTGGTAGGCACTTGGAAAAGCCTGCAAACACAACCATTAGACAGACAGACAGACAAACAGACACACATACACGTAGCTGAATTTTCTCCAGTCCTGACTGGGCCCTATAACCCAGCAGTCCTGCAGCCACTCAGACCCAGGTAAACACAAAGAGGCTTATATTAATTAAAACTACTTGGCCATTTAGCTCAGGCCTACCACTGACTAGCTCTTACACTTAAATTCAGCCCATTTCTGTTAATCTATGTGTTGCCACATGTTCCATGGCTTTACCTGTATGCCATTACATGCTGTTCCCTGGACAGCGGACTGGCATCTCCTGACTCAGCCTTCCACTTCCCAGAATCCTCCTTTCTGCTTATCACACCTATACTATACTTCCTGCCTGGCTACTGGCCAATCAGCCTTTTATTTATCAACCAAATCAGAACAACACATTCAGAGCATACAGAGCCATATCCACAGTACACACACACACACACACACACACACACACACACACACACACACACACAGAGGATGGGGGCAGATAGGAAAGGGACAGAGAAGGAAGGAGTGACAGTCATTGCCTCAAAGGCTAAGTGAATGAAGGCTAGCAGGTGAATGAATGAATCAGAGGTAAAGAGCAAAAGCAACGCTCCAATGTCTGTCATCAGTTTCTGAAGGAAACGGAGAAAACAGAACTACAAGAAAGTGACCAAAAGTGATGCCAGGAAGAAAGGATATTAAGTGAACTTCTTTGAAAAGCCAAGCTAGTGCAGGCCTGGTTGCTCAGGCTTTGAATCCCAGCACTCAGGAGGCAGAGGTAGGAGGCAGGCAGATCAGTCTGGTCTATATATAGCAAGGTTCCAGCCAGCCAGAGATACATGATGAGACTCTGTCTAAAACAAAAGAAGTCAAGATCCAGAGGATGTACCCAAAGGGAGGGGCACCTTCCTTGAATTACTGGAGGTGGGTGTCCTTGAATAACTGAAAGGGAGTGATACCGAGGAGGTGGAGAAGGAACCATTTCCAGGAAGCACTGGAAGAGCAGCTCTCTGCAGGAAGTGGCAGGCTCCTGAAACACAGGGAAATGCGTTTGGAAACAAACAGGAGGAGGGACTGCCGCTGACCTCTAGTCCTAGGTCCTGCCACCAGTAAGGGCCACCAGTTAGGGCCATGTGACTGAAAGATTGGGAACTCTCCTAGTTCCTGATACTGGGGGATTTGGAAAATGGCATCTCATCAGAGTCGGGAGTCTGGGCTCCGGGCTGTGGCCTGCAGCATGTTTCCTGGGAGGGAACGTTCACTATGCTCAATAGCTATTACTCAATGATTTTATGTGCAGCATTTTGCTTCCTTCCATATGTGAGAGCCAAAGTTACATTTTAAGTTTTAATTACTATGCCTTAGAGATCCATGAAGCAAAAATGCCTCTGATCTACAAGCCTTTTGCCCAAGGACAGATAGTTTCTGAAATGCTGGAGGCAATTGTTTATGCACAGGAGATAATAAGCCATATGTTTTCACTCCACTAAACAAGTTTGTTTGACCCATCTGCAACAGTTGTGCTTGATCGCCTGTGGGCAGGAGGGTCATAGGCAGAACATACATCAGGATGTGTGCTTGCCCCTGATTGGATGTAGGCTGGATGTACATCAGGATGTATGATTGCCCCTGATTGGACCCAATGGGAAATGCAATGGATTATGGGTTTTCCTTTTTAAGCCTCAACAAACCATGAACTTGGGTATGGACCTGGCCAGAGCCCATCCACCTGGCCAGGATTTAATTAAAGCTTGCTTCAAATTTGGCTTTAAATTATGGTAGTGGTGTTATTCTTGATTGGTGGGATTAACATGTACCAAGCCTGGGAGATACTTTATTAAAACCCATTTATAGATGAGATATGACAGACAGTTTGGAAAAAATGCCCAATATTATATCACCTATGAGTCACTCTTCTACCACACGGCCAAAGTATCCTTGTGACTGGCTTTGGTGGAGGGTTAGGGGCCAGCAATCTTGACAGAGACAGAAACATGAACACCGACTGCCTATTGAGATTTGTCTGCTCTTCCTGTGCTTGGCTCCTCTACCTCCACGTGGGACTCTGCCCTGCTATCCTCCTGGATGACGAGTGACATGTGGTTAAGTCATTGCCGATGGCCCAGGAGTTAACCGATCAGACGCACAAACAGGCCATTTTAAACCATCCAGCCCCCACCTAGCCATCTAGGAGATCCCATGAACGGGCCCAAGAGAGATCAGCCACACCAGCCTAAACTAGAATGCTGCCCCCAACAACTAACTTCCACAATCTTCTGAGAAATAGTAATGTTCTTTAAGTCACCTTTTTATTCCCTCATCTGTTTAAAAAAAGGGGGGGGGGGATGGGTGACGAGGAAAGAAGAGATCCTATTGCATTCTTGATAGGTGAATGAAAGGAAAAAAATTTAAATTATCCATATTTAATGTTTTTTACTTCACAAGACTTCACTATCGACAGGTGGTGGTGGTGTACATCTTTAAGCCCAGCACTTGGGAGGCAGAGGCAGTCAGATCTCTGTGAGTTTGAGGCCAGCCTGGTCTACAAAGCGAATTCCAGGACAGCCAGGACTGTTACACAGAGAAACCCTGTTTTCAAACGCCCCCCCCCCAAAAAAAAAAGACTTCAGCCTCATTCTCTATCACCCCACCATGGTTCACTGCTGAAGTGGGTGCTCTGGACCGCCAGTATTGCCTGCTTGGAGACCGCTTCCTATAGACCTCTCGAAAGTCATTTCAGGTACTGGTGGTGATTAACCCTTTGTAAATCAACTAACCCTTTAAACCAGGGAACAGAACACCGCTTGCCTACCATCTGCCGTCTCCATCATATGAATACAGCTCTCAGTCTCTCAGGCACCTCTCATCCACTGAGTCTGTGCAATCTGTGGGGAGTTCTGAAAGAAAAGAAACAGAAACAGTTAGCCCTGCCAGAGCTAGAATAAGTTAAAGCTGAGGAAATGGCACAAAGAAAGTGACACTCCATTCAGCCTTTCTCCTAAGGATGCTCGCAAATTAGCTTTCCCAAGTGGGAGGTGAAAAGCCAGACACATTCCAGAGCACCTCCATTTTGGGTGTGTCCTCATGGAACGCTAACGGTAAAGCTGCCACTGAAGACATTTGGCAAATGAGGGAACTGAGGCTAGGTGAATTGTTCCAAGACCTCTCAGCAGACTATTGATGGAGAGAGAAGAAGCCCAAGGTGTCTGGCAATGAGTACGGGGCTCTTTCTGGACCTGGTAAGAGAATAGAATCCATCTTGTAAAAACTCTAGAATGGAATACCTATAGATGATTTAAGGCATTCCCATCAAATTCAAGACAAAGATAAGATAATGTCAAGACTGGCAAAGAGCTGATACTTGAGGGTATATGTTTATAACCATGGGCAGAAAGGACAAGAGGAGGGTCAACCCATTGGCCAGAAGACATCAGGGACTTCCCAAGCAGAATGCTGTCCTTACTCTGAACTGGTCAACCTTGAGATTTGACCATCAGTCCTCAAAGCTTTAATCCATTCACAGGCCCCTTTCTAGCTCCTATCCCATTACAATAAATCACCCAGAAACTGGCTTTGTATGATTATCAGTCAATTTCCATTAGAATAGGGAATTACCTACAGCAGAGGCAGCGGGGTTGTTGTAGGAATTTTAATGTGCCTGGCAATAGCCAGGAGAGAGAACAGTGTGCTAGTGAAAAGGAAAGGGTCTGGGAATGAGAAGCGACCCTCCAGGACACACACACACACACACACACACACACACACACACACACACCACAGGGTGGGAAAGTGAAAACATTACTTCCCGCCGGGTAATTCAGGACAGCCCAATATTAAGTGTGACATGAACTCTGTGAGCGCTGTCGTGTCTCCCAAGCCTGGTCCCTGCTTTCTCCCTGGGATCCTTCACACAGTCTACACACACTTGTCACAGGGCTTCTCCCTCCGATGTCTGGCTGAGCTTCAAAGGCCATCCACGTTTTGTGGAAGCAGAAACCTTCTGGCAAAACTGCCTGTGCTGACTGACCATTGCACTTGGTTTGGAGTTAAAGAGCTCTTGACCAACAAGTATTTGATTCTGGAAGGGAAGAGAGCTGAGATGTCTTTCTGTATGCTGTGAACACGTGTGGCTCCCATTGGATAATAAATAAAGCTGTTCTGGCCTATGGCAAGAAAGCTTACAGCCAGGTGGGAAATCCAAACAGAGATAGAGAGAGAAGGGCGGAGCCGGGAGAGGTGCGAGCATGCGAGCCCACTGTGGAAGGAGCAACAAGATGTCAGCAAACCGGTAACGCCACAAAACTATGGGAATGGGTTAATTTAAGATGAAATTCAGCTAGCAAGAAGCTGAAGCCATAGGCCATACAGTTTGTAATTAACATAAGCCTCTGTGTGATTATTTTATAAGCGGCTGTGGGACCGCAGGTGGGAGAGAGACTGCTGGGCAAGGCAGGACTGGAGAGACATCTGGCTACAAGCTGGAACAGACAAACCAGGGATAACCAAGGTCACAGTGGTGGCAGGTCTCAGAGCTAAGAGTGGCCTGGAAGGAGAACAATGGAAAAGCATGGAAGGTTCTAACCTGGGGCTGAGGAAGGCTGGCCCTGTGGTAAAGGGGGGACTCTTAAGCAAAGGACTCTCCTGCCTCGCCCGCGATCCCCTATCTGCGGCCTCTGGGGGTGGAATGGCAAGCAGGGGAGGGTGGGCCGTGGGAAGTGGCTTTTGACCCTCCACCACCTTAATCTTTCTTTTTTTCTGCCTCCTGCTCGCCTACATCCTGAGGCCCCAAGCCACAGGTGGGGTCGGAAGCACTTAATACACTGAATTGTCTCATACAGTTCTCGCCTTAACCCCGGAGGATTATTACTCTCCTTGTTCAGATAGGGGAGACTGAGGCTGAGAATAAGGTCACATCTAGCAGGGGGTGCAGTGTGACAGAGGATCCAGCCTCGCCAACCCTGTGCTAGAGCTACAGTGGCCAGAAACGCCTGTCCGTCCTGCAGGCCAGCCCAGTTCACAGCTGTTGTGGCTGTCCCTTGTCCCCTTGGGAGGGGAACCTTTCTGACAATTCTTCCTTCGTTACTCAGTTCATGAAAGGAGGGGGACTGCTTGAGCCTTCATGAGGCAGCTTCTCTGAGGCAGGATACCACCCACCATGTGTAGCTGGACCATGGCTACTAACCCTAAACTAACCAGCACCCGGGGACATTAGTTACCGACTTTGGCTAGAATTCCGAATGCAGTCCATCAAACGTGGGATCAAATCACTTCAAGGAACTCTTCCACACACATAAGGCCTGATTTCAGGATGAAAAACTCCATGGAGGCCTCTAAGGTTTACCTCCACTCGCATTTTACTAAAACTAATCACTTCAAGGCTACAGATATTAAGTGGAGTTGAAAGCCAGCTCTCTGAGGAAGGGCCCTGTGAAGGGCTCAGAACACAGAGCAGAAATGAAGGAATTCACCCTTTCCTTCCCCACGCCCCACCCGAGCTGGGTCCACTCTCCTCCATGATTCTTACAGCACACATGGTGGAGTTTGGCTCAGGAGGCTTCCCTGGAGTTGGGCGGGTGTTTGGCGGTTAGGTAAATAGGAAAGGATAACTACCACACCATCACATGCTACTCCGTTCGAACACAACATGAGTAGAGGATAACTTTGCTGGACATAACGCCCCTTTAAATCCCACAACCATCTGGAGCATTTAAAGCTTTGATACACGGCATTTTAAAACCAGCCTGCGAGGCTGTATCCACAGTTGGAAGACCTTTCAGCATCTGTCGCTGTTGTCCGTGGTTTGCCCCAGTCTCAAGGATCCCCACTCAGAGCCTAGCCTTTCTCAATAGCTCATTACAGCCCCAACCTTTTGAGAGCACATAGCTTTATCTCTTTCTAGTGCTTCTCTCCTTTATCAGCAAGCCTCTAAAGGTCAGGATTCTCCCAAGACGCACCCCTGTTATCACCCGACTCTCCACATTTAAAACATGTTGGACATACTGTGCATGGTGTTTAAACGAGTAAGGGGGAGCAAGCTTATCTTCAAACGGAACCCACGGAGAGAAAGGAACAGGTGCCGAGCCCTAAGTGTCACTTCCCCAATGCAAGCAAGCCTGGGGAGCTGGCTCTGAATTATAGATGAGGACAGAGGCAGCCAGAGGCTACGTGGCCAACCTGAAGGTCCCCAGTCAATTAGGGGCAGGATGGCAAGTGTCCCTCCAAACTTAAGGGACAGTGAGGGGGGAAGGGCCAAGACAGTCAGTGTCAGCAGCCAGGCCATGTTAGAAATAGTTTCCTCAGGTCAGCCCAACTCCTGGAAGTCTTCACCCACCCCCACTCCCTCCCCCATCCACATTTATTCCTTTTATGATGCCATTTTCAAACCTCATTTAACCTCAAGTCGAAGTATAAAGAAAGCCTCTTCCTTAGTCCTGAAACTGAGACCCGTGTTGCATTTTTGTTCCCCGTCAAACCCCTCTTTCTTCTGCAATAATAAAAATGCCGCTTTTCATCGCAGAACAGGCTGCATGCCAAAATAAATAGCACCTTGGATTTCCTTGAAAAGAGAGCTTGGCTCAATGCACAGCCTCCCTGCCACAGAATTCTTGGACAATTCAACCTTACCAAGTCAAATATTTAGCATGGGAGCACACCAAAATAGCAGCCGCCTGGGCCCTCCGTGATCACCTGACAGAGACAAAGCCCTCTTTCCAAAAGAGAAAAGAATGCCTCCCACACCTGGGGCGATCCTGCAGCTGAGACAAGAGCTTTCATTCCCCATCCTAGGACCCCAGTTTTCCAAGTGGTCCTGGAGGCATCTGATGGCCCAGCTCATCTGTGGGGGCGCTGAAGCTGGGGCACCAAAGAAGTCAGATGCACTCCTAAAAGATTCTACCTGCTGAGTTCTTAGCCAGGCTCACTTCCCACTCACCAGGAAATGGGGTGGTAGGATTCTGGTTAGCAAGGCGCACATTAACACAATTGCATTAATTCCATTTCCACATGTTTTTTCATGTGTTTCTCTTATTTAGCTCACATGCAGCTGCTGGATCTGGGGCTTCTTGGAGAAGACAGGTCAGTTGGGTAGCAAGCTGTGTACACATCACCCCCCTCAAGCACCCCTCCATTCTTCTGCACAGCCCTAGCAGGAAGGACCCGCCTCTCAGGAGGCCGGCTTCAAGCTGCAGAGATGGAGCTGAGTTCAGCACAGCCCAGTCCGCTTCCCAGCTGTTTGTTAAAGGTCAAGTGACCCGTGACCTTGTTGAAAAAGCAAATACTGACTTCCTTTTTGCTCTCTGAAATAAGCAAGCTGGGTCAGAAACGAATTTACGCTCAGTAAGTTAATACTGGATCAGACAGGAAAATGGAGAGTGCTCAGGTCTCTCAGGTGCAGACTTTGTTCTTGGGGAACTGCCGCTGTTTTAGGGGGATACACCCAAAGACACCCCCCTACACACACACACACACACACACACACACACACACACACACACACACACACACACACACACCACAATCTTCTCCTTGATGCCTCCAAATCTGGGAACCCAGGAGAAGGAGTTCCCACCTTCCCCCTCCAGCTGGTCAATGAAAATGCTTGTAATAGTGATGTGGCCTCCTAAGGACTGGGAACCTGCTGGGCTTCAGGGCTGTCTGTCATCCTGGCTCTGCTTTAGAAGCACCCTTCCCCTCCCCCTCACCCCAAGGCTGGGATAATTAAGTGAATGAAAGTCAGCTTCAGGGTGGATAGAGTAATGTCTGGTGAATTCCCAGGGCCAGACTAGCAGTTCTCACTTCCTGCTGCCCACCAGTCTGATGCCCTAGAACCCCAACATGTGCCCTATCCGGCAGGAGAGAAAAAAAAAGCAAGTACCTACAGTGACAAACAAACTCCTTT